GCGCGCGGCTCCTGCATTCCCGTGACGAATGCATTCGCGGCCGGAATGAAAATGAAACGGCGCGATTTATTGCACGAGAAGGAAAGAGATCCGTGCTGGGACTACTAGGGTGGTGCAGGGGGTGGTCCAGAGCGGCCAGTTTGCCTAGGGGACGCTCTATTATTGCGACTAATTGCCGGGCTGGGGACGTTTTATGCTCTTAATTCACTACGATTTCCGGCATTAATTCCTGCCCGATTGACGATCGCGTCCAATTGAGCTCTTTATCTGCTTTTATTACTGTCATTACAAAATTGTCAAAAGCTTGTAAATAAATTCTCATTACTCTCAACAAAAAATTAAATGAGATGTGCCTTATAAGAAAATTTCAAATAAAAAATCAGATATTTTTTATGGATATTATTAATTTTGTTATTCAAATTTTTTCTTCTTTTTCTTCTAAGATTTTCTGGCCGTTGCACTTTCATCGATTTTTCCAAAGCCTTTTTGTGCGCAAGCGAATAAAAGCACTTTCTTTATTTAAATCCCTCAGGACCTTCTGGTGTGGCAACTTTTTCAGCCAAGTCTGAAAACGATATCTTATTCAGCAGCGTTTATTATGCATTCTGTGAATGGGGCGAGATTTAGGGAGAAATCCACCCCGTCTCACAAAGGACGCGAGGGTTGCAGAATCAATGGGGCCGAGTGCAAGTCGCTTTAAACTCTGCCTGAACCAGCCGGAAAATCACACAAGATCTCTAGGCTAGAGGATATTTCTTTGGAAGGGGAGACTTGGGGATTCGTCATCTTTTAATGCGACAGAGACGTAAGGAGGAAATGTTGCAGGAATATGTGCAAGAATAGCGCCTGGAAATTGGTTCCTGTTGTCAGGATAGATTTTTTTTTCAACTTTCTCTACTTACGCAGAATTTTTTAGGTTTTCCTTGAAATTTGTCTAATTGGCAAATGAGACAGTAATTTGACCCTACCTCAAATTTATCAAATTAGTTGAGTCACTCGAGACTTGCACAATATTTACTCTGGCCTCTCACCTTACATTAAAAATCAAACCTCCCATTTTTTGCCCTTTCCTTTCTTCCAGCGCAAAGCAAACACAATTGGAAATTTTCATGACGTGCCTGTCAGTAAAAGTAGGAATGGCTCGAGGCCTGCTGTGTAATAATATATACCAATAAAGCGGCCAGATAACCAGCGATTATGGTCGCAAGTCATTTAGCAGCCGAGCACAATAAAAACAAAGCCGACGAGAGCCAATATAAATATTTTAAATATATATGTCTACCGTTTGTGTGCTCGCTGTAAACAAAAGAAACGAACGATCGAAAATAATTGTAGACCCTAATGAGGAGCGCGGGTGGATCGCATTGCACACAAACAAAATAATAATGGCGTAATCTTTGGCAAATATTTTGTAAACCTCGAATGCATTTTCGCTGATGGTTTTTGTTCAATTAACCGTCGAATGTTTTATCTTTGGGCTTTTTAACAAAAGTTAACACAGATAAATATTAACATAAAAGCTAAAACAGGGCGCCGACTAAAATCGGCACCGGTTAAAACCTGGGGTTTTCCAAGCAACACTGCACTTTTGTTTTCAAAAAAATAGAGCAACCGCTAATTGGTTTTGACTTTCAAAATTCAAAATATTAACTGTTGACGTTTGCAAAATTACAAAACATTGTATCAAATCAAAAAGAAAAAAAAAGAAAAATGATCATTCAAAAACGTTAGAAACAAGAACTCATTTAATACAAATTGAAAACGATCTTGTATTTTAAACTTACAAAAAACCTCAAAAAATCACAATAGTGTAACAACTTTAATGAATCGCAAATTAATGATGCCATAATATTAGGAAAAAAATATTTTTGTGGCTAAGAAAGTAAATAAATATTTATAATGATATAGTTCAAGGAGTTTAACTCATTATAATTAATCATCTTTGCAGCTTAAATTCTTTCACATTTCTATATTATTAGAGCATGTTTGCTTTTGCCCCAATGAACGTAATCTTTTTTTATTCTTCAATGTTATATAGAAAAAAAAACCGGAGAAAACGAGTTAGTACTGAAATATGACAATAAATTTATCATCATAATATTTATTAGACACATATATGTGCTCAACATACAAAATGGTATTAAAATTACAATTTATACAAAAATGTAAGTAAGAAGTAAATTATTTGTTATGGTACATATTATATTTTTAATTTTTGTATAAATCTTAATTGTATTACCATTTTTGAATGTTTTACACAGATGTGTCTAGTAAATATTTTGATGACAATAAATTTATAAATATAAAAAAATACATTTATGTACCAAAGTTTTATTATCTGAACGGTTTTTATAGTAAAATTTGCAAAACGAGTTGATAAAATCCTCGATCAATTTTCTATTCGTTCAATAATTTTTTTTCTTTTCAATTTAAAAAACATACAAATAAAACAACCCCAAAATTCTGCGGTGTCACCGGGTCCTGTGTGCATATCGATCGTAACAAGAAACGCACAAAGGGACACTCGGCGCGACCACATCAAAGGCCGGTTCGTGGTGACAACAGTCGGGCCGTCCCAAACAAAGAAGGTCCAACTCACCACAAACGTTGAGCCAGCCCTCGACCCTGCAGGGTCCGCTCCTGAGCAGCTGAATGGCGCTGGGGCGAATGTGGTGGTTGTTGCCTGCCATCGTCGGCCCTCTCTTTCTTTCGATCCGCAAATTATTTTCTATGAATTATCCACACTCGAGTTTCACTGCACTGCACGCAAAGGTCACAGGGACACTCTCAGGACATTCCGGGCGCACCGGACAGGTGAGCACACGGGCGCAGTGTTGCACTGGAAGGGTCCGCCGTGCGCGCTCCGTCACCAAGCCAAACTGACTGACGTTGAAACGAAACCGCGAAGAGCAACGCGGAAAGAGAGAGGCGCCCCGCTCTCTCCTCCTCCTCCACCTCCTCCTCTACCGCCGCCGTCATGAATGAATGGACGACGAGCCACCTTCCGAGAGAACGCGGCACGCGCTCGCCCTCGCCAACGCCGACAGAGGGAACGGCTGCAGCGAATTTTCCATTTTCCGCAGTGCCACAGAAAGTTGGTGCTGGGAAAGTGCGTGGGTCGTGCCCTTATTTCTGCATTTGGATTATTTCCAATGCAAAGAGGGCATTTTTAAGCAAACAATAATATAATTTAACATAAAATATTAAAAGTAATATTAAATATATTAATATTATAGTTTTACTTTTTTATTTTAAACACTTTATGTTTTTTATTTTATATTTAGCTTATAAAATTAAAAGCAAATTTCATTAAATTATACTTTTTAACTTAAATATTTCTTACTTTTTTAATCAACCAAACTGTAATATGTGTAAACACTCTGATCACTATAATGATCATTAATATTAAAATGATATCTTAAACTTACCGTTTATCAGACTTACGATTTTTTAAGATTGCAATGTATCATATATATCATTATAAGTAAACTGTAAATTAATAGAGGTTCTTATGCAAATTCATGAATTTAAAGAACTATTTAATATTATATCAAATTATTATGATTCTTGGTTGATACAGAAATAATTTAAAAAAAACCATACCATATTTTATTTATTATTCTTCTATGGAAATAAAAATTATTCATTATTTACGGCTATTTATAAAATGGTTCCGTGAAAGTTCATATAAAGGATTCCAATACTTTTTATTATAAATTATAATGTATTTTTATTATTGATTATTGTATTCTACAAATGATCAAATTATTCTTATTCCTTGTATTTTTGCTTTACTAACTTTCTGTATTTTTCCAGGTGGGGTTTTTTTAACTACAAAAGTGCAACTTGATGTATAACAATTCCCTTTATTTATGTTCTTGAATCATGATGAAGTACAAAACACATGAAATTTTACAAACAAACACGTGAGTGTGCAGATGCTGCAAAATTTTGCACATTTTTGTATTAATTATAATTGAAGATGACATACTTTCGGTCGATGTTGTGTGTCCTTGTGGAAACTTCGTACTTTTTAGTTAAAATAATGGAGTTTCAAAATATAACCATCGGTGAGAATTTGTCATACATTTCTGACACCACCATTCCCATTGTTATAATAACTTTTATTAGGTATATTATATGAAAACTTAAAAAGTAAAAATTAGCTCCATACATCTCAGCATCCACAACAAATATTTTTGTCATTCAGAGGATAACAATGGATAGGTTTTTTTTGTAGTTTTATATTGAGAGTAATAACTTTGTAATATATATATGTATACCTGCCAACTTCTTATGCATCAATGTTGGTGAAAAGAGAGTTTATTAGTCGGTTGTTATTAATAAAATGCAAAATATCTTTCACCTTTTACAATGTTGTAGTAATATTAAGAATTATGCCTATGTTTTTTAAATAGAGATAAAGTTGTAATTTTAATAGCTCTGTCAATTGGAAAATTTGGCAACTTTTTAATGTCTTCAATTACAAGTGATGTCGATTATAACTCTTCATATTAGTAAATTCAGATTTCCTTGTTGAACCTATTTTTTTTGCTTAAATATTTTACTAGAAGAAGAAGTTTAAGAAGAAGAGGGTAATTGTATCTGAAAGATGAGTTTCTAAAACTGCACCCTTAATAATTAATATTACATTGTGTTAATCGTACTTTTAATTAATCAATTAACCTTCGCCTCATTTACGTACACAATACAATTTGGCTACACACCAAAGCCAACTGTTAATCTTTTTAATATTGTTTTGTTCTTTTTTTTTTCATTCTTCTCATTAAAATTGAGTAGATTAGTTGTTTGGAAAAATTAAACTTGCGTTGATATAACTGTCAGTCTTAATTATAAAAAGTGTCCTCAACTTTTCTTGTTCCAGTTGGTTGGATGTTGTTTAACTACAACTAGTGGTGATAAACAACTGATATGCTGATAGTCTAGAATAACCTTTCTTTCTCTCAATTTTCCAAAGTGAGTCCACTAATTTTCTTTCATAATTTTGTGATCGACCAACCTTTACTAACAGCTACTTGCACTGACAAATTAATTAACCAGTGAAATGCATTATTTTCAATTAGGAATTCATGGTTTAAAATATACATACACCTTATGCATGATTTTCGATGGTCAAATTTAAAACATCAACTTGGTAAAAATTATAACTAGGTTAAAATCACACTTGCATTAGTGCAACAAAATATCAAAAATTATTGAACAATGAACCCTGTTTTTCTGTTGCTTTAATGAAGTGGGATGATGGCTCGTGAGGTTTTTTCCATTTATGGTAAAATTATTATATCATGTACAAGTACCATTCAATGTACTTGAGTAAACAAAGAAATAAAATTGGCAGCAGATGTTTTCAGTTAAAACATAGAATACCTTCAGCAGCACCTCATTCCTAAAAGGCTACATACATATTTGAAAACAAATTCTGTGTCATTTTTACAATCAAGTCAAGAATAAAACTCCCGTCTGGACGTACCTTATTGATTACATAATTTTTTCGACACTTTAGGTTTTCTGTCTCTTACTAACATTGCTCTAAACTATTCAACATTCTGTTCTCTTTTCTTATTTCTGTATGCAATAACAAACTGATCTAACTTTTCTCAATAAATCTGCTGTTACTTTTTTTTTCATTAATGCACATATTACTTTTTTCTTATCAAAACAACGATTTTTTTACAAAAAGCATCCGACTAATCGTACCAAGCAATTAATTCTCTTTAGTGGTCTCAATTTTCAAATCTTTAAAGCTGTTGAAATCTTGTGTGAGTATTGAAATTCGATCAGACGTGTTTTAAATTTGTTTTTGTCGCTTGGCTAGAAGTTCGCCTGCTCTAGTGCTTTGGCGAAAAGTTGTGTTTTTAGTAGTTGGTGGCTTGTGGGCAGTTTGTTTCTCAAAGTAGTGCAACCAACTCCATCAATAAATGGTTGTTCAGAAATTTAACCTTTGTGCAATGCCGACCAAACAAGCGAGGTCTTCACAGAAAGTCTCATCAATAACTAGAAGAGTTCTTTTGATCCAAAATAAAAATCCAAAAATAAAACGGAGTCAAAAATAATGTAGAGAAATTAAAAAAGCTACCTAGATTGGAGAATGAGCAAAAACTCTTTGGACAAAATTAGACACTGAACTCACAAGAGACCTTCAGTGAAAAACTCGCTTTCACACCTAAATCTAGAGCATAAGGCCGCCCTCAGTTCATTTCACTGACCAACCGCTTATTTAAGGAGGAGATTGCAGCAGCCCATTCCTATTGTGGTAACGGTGAGAGGGGTTCTGAAGCAGGGTAGCCCGACTGAAAGTGTCGTGATTGGGTGGGCCTCAAGAATGGGGTGAGGATGTCGAGCGGCAGAGGGAAGATGATTGTCGAGTTCTTCTCTGCCGATATCGAGTTGAGGGTCTGCAGGTAGCGGAGCTGCAGGGCAGCAGGGCTCTCGGCCATCACGTCGGAGGCCTCCTTCAGGGCGCGAGAGGCCTTCATTTCTCCCTCGGCCGCGATCACCTTGGCTCTGGCCTCTCGGGCAGCCTCGGCTTCGGCGGCCATGGCACGTTGCAGTTGAACGGGGAGGCGCACATCCTTACTGAAAATTTAATTCAAAATTAGAATAAAATTTATCAAGGATATGTAAAAATTTATTACTTCACTTTTCAAGTCAAACCTTTTTTCGTGTTCCAAAGATTTGTCTAATCTTGTATTTTTTTTTGGTAATTTTTCATTTTTAATATTATATTCTTATTAATTTGAATATAATTGGAATACATCAGAAAAGAGGCTTATTTTTTTAATGATGTAATTTTTCAATGAAGAAATTAGGTTGGAATATGGAGAAGAAATGGTAATTATTTTTTACTTTAAATATCAAATTTCCAATCCAACCCTTTAGTTTCACTCACCTTTCAATATTCTTCATATTCCACAACAATTTTTCTTTCACTTTAAAAAATTTAATTCATTTATTGCTTGAAATATCTGCTTAAATTTATCATTTTCAAATTATTTATTATTATTAATATTATTATAATTTATTGATGAAAAACATTTTTATTTTTGTTATTAAATAATCTGAAACCAGATCAAAAGCATATTATTATAGTATGGAATTCTCTTTATCTTTAAACCCATGCCTTTATTCAGAACACTACTCATACTCTAACGTTATCAGCAGAGCACTTAAGATGCCTCAAATTCCTTTCAGAATTCCTTAATGAACCTGCTTCTTTCATCTTTGCGATTATATGACGAAAAATAGGCAAAAACTCACATTGCTTGTCTCACTTGACACATTGGAATTTTACAGAATTTACTCTTTGAAGTGCTGACAAGAAAATAATAAAAGTTTAGCTATCCCTGAATTTTTGAGGGAAAAATAATTTAAAAAGCAGCCTGAATTATTTATAGAATAAAACCATCCATAAAAAATGATAAATATTATTAGCTGTTAGTTTAGGAGTTTGACTTGTGATTTTTTTGTTCCTTACATCTCAACTCGCTCGACTTTGACACCCCAGGGGTCTGTGGCGTCGTCGAGGGCGGTCTGCATCATGTGCGCGATGGCCTCTCGGTCTGACAAGATTTCAGAAAGGTTGCGGGTGCCGAGCACGTTGCGCAGGGTGGTGGCGGCCAACAGGCGGGTCGAGTGGCTGTAGTTGTTGACCTTGACGACGGCGTTCAGCGGCTCCTGCACGCGGTAGTAGATGACGGCGTCGACGGTCACGGTCACGCTGTCCTTGGTCAGCACCTGCACAAGGTCGGACAATGGTAGCCAAGCGATTCAATTATGATATTCAAGCTTTGTGCAACCTGCAAATGTCTAGGGCTACTGCGTGTCAGGTGTTCAAAGCGGAAGGGCGTTAGTTAGAGGGGACTCGAGCTACGTTCTAGCGGATTCTTTTGTGAATTGTGTTACATCTTGTTTGCGATAAATTCACTATTTCTAAATCCTCCAAAATGATCCCTGCCACAGTACCTTTGGTTTAGGAAGGAGTTTTGCATTTTTGACTCCGCAGATAAATTTTGTTGAAAAAAGTTCTGTTATTTTAAAAGCCAATTTAAGCAGGTGCAAAAGCAAATTTATTTTCATTTAATGTTTTTGGTTAGTTTATTTTGTTTGAAACAGAAAATGAGTTAAGAAAATAATTTTCTTATCTCAATCCAGCCTTGCCTTTTGCAATTGCTTTTTTATTAAATTTGTGGACTGTTAATAATAACTGAAAAAATTTCAAAAGATTAAAAATAATTAATAAAATGCCCGAATAAATGGAACTAATTAAATGATTTTACTATAAACTAAATAAGGGAAATATTTACATCTGGTCAGAGCTAGTTTCAGGTTGGACTAAAAAAGTTTAAATAATAAAAATTGGCATAAAAACGGAAAGGCTCTTAAGGGCTTAATTAAGAGCAAGGCAATAAAGCTCGTGGGCTGATGGCCCCTGTGCATCCTCGATTAAACACACGGGCGTCGCGCGGGTTGCATAAGCCTTACCAGCAAAAAATTCTTCTCTTTTTCTCCACCAATAAATTAATTCCCCGGCGGCTGACAAAAAGTAACACCCCGCGAATTATCGCGGCGCTGCTGCTAAAAGTTCTCCCCGGCCGAGAATTAATTATTGCCATTTGCGTAAGCTGGCAACTGTCGGTCGTTGGCGCTTCTCGAGGGCGAATTGCGCCAAACAAAAGGGGGTCGGAAGCTGTTGCAAATCCGCCTTCGAGCACGTATATGTAGATAAAGAGCACGCCAAAATTCATCGGGTGGAATAAATTGAGGCTGTTGCCTGCTTTTCTCTCTCTCGACGCGTTTGGTTAAAAAAGATTTAGCCGAAGAGAGAAGAGTGACAATTACAAACTGTCAAACGATACCGGGCGTAAAACAACGCGCGGGATCGATGATGCAAATCATCTTTCGTCGGGCCATTAGGGTGGTTGCGGCGCGGCCACACAGAGAAAAAAATGCAATTTGCCCCGGAATGGAAATTGAGCCGAGAATTATGGAAAAAAGGCGCGGCTGGCACGAGGAGCCGCTTTTAAATTTGATCCGAAGCTTTTAGCCAAGAATGACCTGCTTTTTCCGCAGCCGCTCTCCGTCTCGCGCTAAGCAGACCGTGAAACAGCGGCAGCAACATGAATTTGCTCTAGCATTGTTTCGTTCCTTCTTTTTAATATTTCGCTTTTGCGGAATTACTTAGCCGGAGAAGCGAGCAGAGAAGAGGGCGAAATGGCGCTGCCTCTCTGATTTATGCGATTGTGCAGGGCGGGTTGAAGAAAAAAGAGAAGATGCAGTAGAGAACAAACTGCGGACTACGGGTGGTGCTAAATTCACTGTTAAAACGAGATATTTCTAAGCAACTGTAAACGAAATTCCCTTTGAAATGAACATTGTCTTTCGTAACTGCGAAAAAAATTGGAGGGATTCCAAAACTTGCTTAATTTATAATGAAGAAAAATATTGGAAATAATTTATATTCTAATTTAACTTCAACCACAGAATATTATTATTTAACACAAAGTTAAAGTTAATTTTTAAAACTAGCCCGCTTTCCATCTGAATTGTATAATAGACAAATTAATAGCAAAGTTTGAAGGAAGATTATTTATAAATTTAAAAAGGGTTGTTTTAAAAAGTTAATGATTTTGTTTTTCTTTTGAAAAGTAGATAAAATGCGACATTTCTCTCCTTTTTCATGCTCATTATTTTTCTATTTCTGTTTGCCCGAGAGCTAGTGGGGCATTCATTCTTTCAAAACAAAGCGCGGGTCATATTGGTGACACATGTCACATTAACAATAGAAGAAGCATCTTTCAGTGTCACCCTTGGCTAAAGAACTTATGTCCCGCATCAAACTTCCAGTCAGTCCGTTCAAAAGACTCGACACAAGCATTAATTTCGCCGCCACTCGGCCGGTCATTTATCAAAACAGCATTTTCTTGCCCGCGAAATCCACGATCAACTTCTCTCCAAACTCCTATAAGATTGGCGCGATGTGCAATTAAGCAGCCGGAGCGCAAAAAATCCCTTTCCGGCCAAGAGTCGATTTATCTTCGCAATCGGAAGCTGCCGAAACTTTTCACCCCTGTCTGAATTCATCCCTTCGGAGAAAAAACTATTTGCTTAATGACTCGAGAATGAACTTATTAAAGTGGATATGTGAGCATCTAGCATTGGAAAAGGAAGAATCTGAGTTAAGAAATTTTTGAGAAAAGTAAGTATGTCAAATCTAAATAAATCTTAATTTTTTTCTTATTGATTTTTTTTTTGTAATTGCAAAAAAGTTGTATTGTAAAATTCTTTTATGTTCTCCTTTCTGTAAAAATTAAAAATATTGTATTATTTTGAATGAACATATAATTGTATTTTAATGGGCAGCAATCGCCCCTGTGATAGATGAATAAACAAAATTTGCAACCACTTTAACTGATCTAATAGTTTAATTCCTGCAGCGTATTTATAAATTTATAATTAAGGTCAAATTAACAACATAAAAAATTTGAAATTATAAGGAATTGAGTTGTAATCAAACTCCTCAGGTTTTCAGGTTTTCCAACTTCTGCTGTTCATATATCCACTTTAATGGTTTATTCTGCTCAGAGCGGCAAACAACGCGGTTTTTGCATTTCCCGAAACCAAAGACCATCCATCACGGGGTGAAAAGAAGAGCGCACAAAACATCCCGTGCTAAATCCACGGTTTTTTGGCCGAATCCTAAGCATTATTACGCCCCAGCGAGCGAGCAATAATAAGCGAAGTGGAGCGCACTAAATCCGCTTTTTGCGGCGAATATTATTATCAAATAGAGGAGATGCGCGTCATAAAAGGCCGGCGGTTTAGTCCGGCTTTGCAGCTAGCCGGGAAAAATTGAATGGAGCGCATTTTGGCCGCACTCCAAACCGGGTGGTGGACTCACTTCTTGCGGGGCGACGTCGAACGACACGGTTCGCAGGTCCACCTTGCAGTAAGTGTCCACGCAGGGCAGCACGAAGAAGATACCGGGTCCGCGGGCGCCCCCTGTGCGCAGGCGACCCAGCCGGAAGATCACCGCCCTCTCGTACTCCTGCACCACCTGCGAACAAGAGCGATTACGACCGAGCGTTTTATTAGTTTTCTCTTTTACGACTGAAAAGCGCGTAAAACACAAAACATGGAAATTATTCTTGAAATGCCAGTTGCCGGGGAGAAAAAGGGTTCTGCTCGACTTGTAAACCGGTCTGTTCTTCAATACCCTCTACCAGAATTCCCAAGGTTAAAATTTAAAATTATTCATGACAATTTAATTTTAATAATGCTTAAATTATTATTTTTTCTTTTAGATTTGTCCACATTGTTACATTACATTGTTCACACTCAATTGTTGAAAACAATTAATTAAAAAAAAAACGAATTATCGGGCAAATTGCAACACCACTCGCAAGAATTTTGCTAAAATTCCAAGATCAAAAAGACCCCATCCGCCACAGTGAGCCTTGGTTGACTAAGTTTTTTTTTTGTTTATTAATAGATTTAATTTATTTAATATTTTTAATAAATTTGACTTATTAAATTTAATTTATGCTTGAGCTGAAGCAGAATAATTGTTGTAGGGTTCGCAAATTGTGCTTGTTTCAATGACACACCATACTTCCTGTTATCTGATGTGAATTTCTGTTTGTCTCTAAACAAAAAAGAATTCATACAATGTGAATAATGTGTTTTAATTGCCATGCCATGTGAATATTCAATAGACGAAATCTGTACAACAAAACCAACACACACAAAATATGTAAAAAAAAAATGAATTTTGTGAATAACTGCACCAATAATGACCATAATTTGTTTCGTCGCTATTTGATTAATCATTAAAAAAGCCGACTCATTTCAGTGAAAATTGATGAATTAAAAAATCACTACAAATAAATTTTCCTACCTCGCTTTTACGAGGAGAAAACTATCGCACTAGCAGTTAGGAGGGCTGAGAGTGAAAATTAGAAGCGGAAGAGCGCGCGTGGTACACAACGGAATGATTAGCAATAATTACTGGAGCCGCGCGCGCTTGAGTGCATTAAAAGCAAATTGGCCGCGCTCCAAAATGATATTCTGTTGACGTTACAACGGCAATAGAGAATCTATAAGTGTCACCGGCGGCTGCGGGTGCTTTTAAGGCGGCAATAAATGAGCCGACAACAAAACCACTCCAACTCGCACTCGGAGATTTCGGCGCTTTTGATAAAATATGTAGCGCCAACCACCAACTATACCAACCCCCAAGGACCCTCTCGAGAAACGCTCTTCCACCCTTGCTTCCCTCGCGAGATGCGCGCATTCTTCGCTGCGACAAATGAAAAGGCGAAACGGATTCGCGCGCGTAATGACGCCGCTATTTTCCTCGTGCGCAGGAAGAGATTTACAATGGACCATTTTTGGTATTGTGCGAGTGCACGACGTGAGAGGTTGCATTTTTCATACCAAAAAGATGCGAAGAAACCCAAGATAAAAAAAAACGTTTTTTCGCTTCATGTTATGAATATTCAATAGGTAAATTTAACTTCCTCATTGTAGAAATTTTTCAAACTAGGATAAAAGTTAAAAGCACTTTTGTAGAACTATCAGGAGTGATAGAAAAAAGTCGTGCAGCAAAAGTAGCACATTGGAAGAGAGAAAAGAGATGTATAAAAGGCAAGTTTAGTCTTTTTCTGATTAGAATTCAAACATTCACGGTGCAATGAATTTTCCAATAAAGCGCGCCGTTCGGACACCGCATAAAGCCGAATGTAAAACTGCACGGGTGTGATTTCCATATTCAACGCTTAAATCACCGAGGAAAGGTGAGGGCCCTTTTATTGGCTGGCAGCCTGGAGTGCCATACATTCAACTTTGCACCACTTACGGCGAATAGGGTAGTATCTGCTGCGCTCTCGAGTGGAGAATGAGGACACATATTATTGCTATTACCAACACTATTCGCCCATGAACGGTATGAATATGACGACGAGAATGAGAGAATCAAAAGCACTCACTTTGGTTGGTATGAATTTTAATGGGTAAGTTATTCAAAGGAGTGACAGAAACAGACAAAAAAATCAGTTTTCAAAACTTTTCGACGTTAGGAGTGGATATGAATCAATTTTAAATACGTAAGTTCAATTTTAAAAGATAAAATAATTTTAGACAATGTTATAAAAATAAAACCGTATTATTATTAGCTTTTAATGTTCTTTTTTTATTTTTATAAATTTTATTTTATTTTAATGACTTAATTCTGATTTATAAATTTATTCATCCTATTGCTTTTTAAATGATATTTATTAGATAAAAAAATAATTATATAATCATGGAGTCTACAATTAAATACTAGAAGACAATCAAAATTAACATTACATTGGCATCTTTTGTCAGTTATTGCATATCTTGGACTATAAGTAATCATGTTATTAAAATAATAATAATAATATTATAATAATTTTATCATCAAATAAATTCATAAATTACTTTAGCTGTCAGGGCATCAGGCTGCCTAAGTTGTGATAAAAGTTTTCAGCTAATTTACTATAAGAAAATTTACAACCCTATGCTGATATATAATCATAACGCCACACAGATATTGCGTGGGCCATTGAAATTTAAAATAAAAATAATGCTAACGTCGTGAACCAAAATCTTGAAAGAAAAGATGAGAGGGTAACGAATGCAACAAGGCAACATGGCGGTGAATGCATATGTGATAAAAAAAGAGATGGATGGTTTGTACTCACTTTGAATGCGAAGCATAGGGAGAAGGGCAGGGTGAAGACGAGCAGGACGATGGAGGCCAGGGTGGCGATCACCTCTATCACGCCCATCCCCTCTGGCTCGGCTGCAACACGAGAGAAAGTGTGGTGACGCCGTTGCTTAATATTCAAATAAGGCCATTAAATGCACAATTCGAGGACGCCGATGTATGAATTTCGGGTCCGCGGACGAGCAAGCCATAAAACGGAAAAAGAGCGCCGGCCTATGCGTATGCGAAAAAATATAATAGGGTTGAGAAAAAAAAATAGAGCGAGAGGGAAAGCAGGGTAGAGGGGCGTGCTGCCTCATCGAGATTTGGTGTCCGAGCGGCGCCGGATTGCCTACTTTGCAGGGGAAGCACAGCATCAGCGCATTAGGGCGCTGCCCCAGCGAGGAAAGAACTTTCTAATATGTACAAATAAATCCATCTGCACCCGCCCTTGTACGCACCCTTGCGCTGGGGTGCCGCTCGACTGGTTGCTGCTGCTGCTGGCATTTGTTTTATTCTTTACTTTTGTCGCAGCTCGCTCCGTTAATTTTGCGCCAAGATTATGGCCGTTGTTACTCTCACTGGCCGGACGAGATGTTCCTGGAATTTTTACGCTTTCAAGAAATTCGTTTTCCGTGTAATGCGCAATGGTGCAGACGGAGCTAAGTGGTTCTCGCTTTGTCTCTCCGCCGTGCCAAGAAGTGCGAACAGGAGAGAGCACAAAATAATGGTCCAGCTCTATTTCGCTTTTGACCTAAGGATTACGTCTCAAATATCAATAACTTCAAATTTGAATATTTTAAAAACAAAATTCTAAATTATTTTAACAATATTTTCAATTATTTCTAATTCAAAATGTAGATAAACATTTTTTATTATTTAATTATTAGAAATTAAATCTGTAAATGCAATTCAAAATCAATGGGCGATATTTTGCAATTTCGAGAATTTATTTTGAATTTTTTTTAATTGTATTCAATTTATTTTGAAAAATACTCCGACCTAGATAATGTTACATGTATTTTTTATTCATACCGAAAGTGATAAATATTTGATTTCCCGCTGGACTTGCTGCTGACTCGGCTTTCCCTTTCTTTTTTCCATCCTGCCTTTGATATATGAACGTGTCCGAAAGTGAAAAATGGACGCGCGAATCCGACGCGAGTGGCGAGCTCATTTCAATGAAAACGTTTCGCCCTTGTAATAATAATTGCTGCAGCACAGCAAACTGTTAGCAACGGAATCCATTTCCATGATTGAGCATAGTGCAGATGAAGACGGGTCCATTTTATAGTGCAAAAAGTGCGCGACAGAAAAAAAAGAGCTCGGCAAGAGGGTTGCAGACATAAAAAAAGAGAACAGTCGAGGAAATTCGAGAGCAGAAATGGCGGCCACTGTCCTGATATTATTCTTTTTTATGGCGCCTCCCTTTCCGCTTCCATGCTCTGGCCGAGCAAAATATTTGCAAGTTGCTGCTTTTGTCTCGGCGGCGGGATGACGGCTAATAAGTGGAGAGAACTCGAGCTGCTGGCCGTTGGCGGGTTTCGTCTGCCGCCGAATCGCAGTGATTTGTGGAGAAAGTTGTCGCGGGGCATTTGCAAATTTCGGGACTATCTGCCTTGTGCCAAATTATTCTGCCCGCATGAGAAATGCGGGAGCAAAGTTCGCGCGTTACAGCCCTCGGCGGAGCAGTTTTTTCTCTTCTTTTGGAGACCCTGCCAGCGACGATTTGGCGAACTTTTAACAACGAGAGTGACAAAATTCGTTCAGTCACCGATAGGAGAGGATTGTCAATGAGAGAAGTCCCATTTTTTTTGTCAGAAAACTTGAATTTAGAAAACGGAAATACGAAATGTCAGTCAGAAAATGATTCTTTTCAAAGTACTATTTACGTAGCAAAATTAATATACAGCAATAATGAACATTACAACTTACTATTTTTAAGTATATTTTGATTTTAAATTCTCATCTTAATTAGAAAAAAGCTAAATTACAACTATTTTGAAGGGAAATTGGGAAAATTGAATCTTCTACATTAAAAAATTAGAAACTTAAAGAATTCACACACAGAATTTTGTGTTTTAAATTTTCTGGTTTTTAATCTTAATTTCAAGAATCAATTCCGAAATATCAAATAACTTGAAGACATGTGCATTATAAGTTAAAAAATTGTTTTTGAATTATTTATCAATTCACTGAGTTAAATTATAAAACATTTGAAGTGATTAATAATTTTTAAATTAAATACCATGAATTATCATTTAAATTTTTACAAACTTCGAAACTTCACACGTTTTTCTAGCAATCCATATATTATATTTAAAATCCATAAAAATATATCACTTTTCTGACAAAATGTGGCGACCCAGAGGATATACAATTTGCTCTCCGTGTGAGCTGAATATATTCACGAATCGAAATCTTCTAGACAATCTCTTTTTATTTGAAACGCGGCGAGTGCTTTGACGGTAATCCTTTCGCTCTCAACCGTTTTGAAACCTCCGCAATGCAAAGTAAAAGTACTTCGCAAATATCGAGCTGCAGAATTCGCGCCTGCAGTGCGGCCGACAGACGAATTGTTTGTTTTGGCCGTCGTCGGCTGGGCTCGGAACACAACATGCTACAAGCGGTCGGGCGCGAAACTGCAATGTGTGGCCTATCGATTTTGTGTGTCCGTCCGTCCGTTTAATTTGAACGCCGGGTTGATTAGTCGGAATTGAAATTTCGCCAACACGTGTTTCCGTGCCAATTGTACGAACGAAACTTTGTACTTACGCGAACGCCGTATAATTAAAAAGGTTGGTATGCCTAATTGCGAGACAGATGAAATTTATACACAAGCGGAGAGTGGCGTCGCTGCCCTCAGAGTGTGCGATAATAGTCGAGAACCGTGGATTTTGTGAAACCAAGTAAGGCTTCCCGGGTGCAAAAATCTCGGCTGCAGTCACGGAAGTAATTGAGTCGCATTCGTATTGTGCGCACGACCGACGAATTATTCAGCACGAGAACGTATTATTTTAAGCCAAAATCCTTTAGCCTTTCCTCCAGTCGGGATTTACGAGCTCCATAACAATGTCTGGATTTATTTTGGGCGGGCTATATATATTCAAAACAAAAGGGGTACTTAATTGTGGAAGTAAGAAAGAAAAAAAAACTGTCTGCTGAAATATTTTTGGATGAAGAACAGAATCATTCTAGAGAGGAAGCTTCGCTGGGTATTTGCTAGAGTAAAAATTAATTATTATAATTATGTGCGCTTTGTATGCGGACGCCTCAAAATGGGTGGAATTCTGATGAGTCTTTTCTCGGCGTGTTCATTAAATTCGTTGGGATTCAGAACGGAGAACGGGACCATCATTTGGCATTTGGGGCGCGCGGCCCCAATTCCAGCATTCTAATTTCCCGAAGTCACCCTGGGGTGGAGTTTCGAGCATGAATTAAAGCGGTCGGCGCGCTCACGTCAGAGCTACAACCAATTCCGACCTCTCGCCCCTTGCTTGTTTCACTCGAAATTAACTTTACATCCCGATGGACCGAAACGAGATCGATGCAGAAAACGCGGCGGTGGAAAGAATGAAAGCCCGGCAATTCCTCTCGATTCGTTTTTTGGCACAGACCCATACTGTTCTCTCGCCGTGTGTTTTTCTAGTTGATCCGAGAAATCTCGTGATTATCACGAAATTTGGTGACACCAGAATCAACAAACAGCCGCCGCGGATTACGCGTGTCACGAATTTAGAACGAGAGCGAACAACTCCCCCTGTGTTGTTTTTCTACAGAGTTAGTTTCAATTTATTAGACCGTTAAAAGCAGAGCAGTGTATAGAGATGAATTGATTCCTTTCACTTTTACATGGAAAAAACCAAGCTTTAAAACCAGAAACGATAAAATTTAAATAAAAAAAAGAGAAAAAAGAAAATGAACAATAGAAAAATTGAGAACTCCATAATAGTATAGTGTTAAGTGTAAATATAATTGATTCATTCATTTATTTTGAAAGTTCATGATTTTTTAGAAACATTTGATAAAATATTTTAATTCATTGTTATTATTAATATAATTGAAAGAAAACTCGTTGCCCCATCAAGGAAATGAATTATTTTAAAAAATAAAATACGATAATTTCCAATTGATGCATCATGAGACTTATTATAAATAAATAATAATATTTTAAATTGACACATCAAAAAGTGTTTAATATGAAATTATAATTGTTGGTGTAATTATTCAAAAATAAGTAGCAATTTATAAATTAAATATTTAATATTAAATAAAAAGCAAAATAAGAAAAATTAATGTAAAATAAAACAAATAAATATGCCGTCTTATTAAAGGTGTTTTTAAAATTAATTGTATGTAATAATGTAAATCTAGGTAATGATCATGAAAACATTTTGTGGTTTTGTAACTAGAATTTTTTGAAAATATTATTAACATAAAAATTTTACTAGTCACTGAAAATTAACCAAGGTGTCCACTAAAGTAAGCACCACTTTTTAAAATTGAAATTGCCATCAGGCTGATTAAACATGACGCAATTTGACACAATCAGTGCAATCCGGTTGTAAAACTTACACAAAAACGCGCACTTTATCCACCGAATGCCGGCGGCCATGCTGACGAATAATCGCGGCGACTACTGCTGAAATTCCCACCGCCACAATAACTCATCAAAAATGTACTGGGCGGGCGGCACGGACTTTGTTTGCCCAATATGTAATAAAAGCGCGGCCGCGCAGAGTGCGATGCTATCTGTTGTAATGTACCGAGCAGAGTTTGGTAATACCTTTCATTAGCGTTATGGCTGCTCCGCGGGACACAACTTTCGCGCACGTGGACGGACCAAATTTCACCCCCGGTGGAATTTATGTTCGCATTGCGTGACGTCGGGCTTGTGGTGCAATTATTTACCATGTCATATCTGCGACTGTAATCACCACCTGCACCCTCGTTACACACACCATTAGCCATCGGCCCAACAATAATTGCGCGCCTCACTCTGACCTTCCACGTGGGCGAGGTCAAGTTAAAACTCATTGCACTCCGCCGAGTGGAAAGACGAACATCGCGTCACTTGGACTAAAAAAGATGACGTG